CCCCTATAACTGCTTTCTCAGATCTCTTGACCTCATTACATATGCACACAGTTCATTTAAAATGACGTATGTCCATTTATCCAGTGTGCAGTGTTGGTGGTTAATTCTAGTTTCCTAACAATGTGTATTCAATGACTACATTCAACAAGTGCCAACACATTTAGAGCTAAATATGAATAAAAAACATAAACTCACAATGGTGATTTTGAGCATGTTTAATTAATTATGTTTTATTTTTAAATAAAAAACATGCAGTGCAGTATTCTTATTAAAAGATGTAAATTACAAATGCTCATGCACCCGCATTTACTCTAAGTTTTATTTTCTGATAAAACATCCCATATCGTTTTTATCAAGGTGTATTTTCAAACCAAATTATACATGCTCCAAGTTTAATATACACAATTTGATTCATGCATGTAATTTTAACCAATCATAACTACGGTATTAAAAAAAAAAAAATTGATAGGTCAATTGCTTCTCACTGTGTACCTGACTTGGAAATACATAGGTAGACACTGCACGGTGAATGTTGACCTTTTCCCAGTGTACATGCTGTGCTTGTAAAAAACTTTAAAAAAACATTTAAGCCAATATAAATGCTATATATGTATAGATTTCATGATTTAAAAAAAAAACTTAAAAACTCATGTCAAATTATGTTTCCCATGCATCAGTTGCCAATCCATGTCATGACTGATCTAACAAAGTTCTGATAATAAATATCATCATTTCAACGTGTATGTTTTGACACATTACAATCTACGTACTTTAACCAGATTTCCTGGGTCAAATATTAACTTGAGAACAACACCAGAGGTCACTCACTCTAAAGTCATAAACCACTGCTCCTGTTTATCTACTACAAGAAGTGAAAATTTATTGAATCATTTTAAGTTTATTAACATAATGATTTTTTTTTTCACAAATTTTAACATTGAATATCTATATTTTGTACACATTCAATAAAGATAGTATCATTTTCTGCACTGTTACCCTTTCTTGACCAAGTTGTTTTCTAATTTTTTAATTTAAATGTTTGTCAAGTTTAAAAATATCTCTGTTTCTCGTTTCGCGCATCATTTTGAACTGTGCGCCTCAGACGTTTTTTTTCCTTCTAAAGCATTCCAAAATGCCCTTGTACTCACACTTGTTTCAAATTTCCCCCATTTTAGCTCAGTATTATTTTCTTTTCACTTTTAAAATATTAAAATTTACCAAAATACATGTATAGGGTTATGTATTTTCTTGATTAGTAGCACATGCACTTTAATTCATATATGGCAACAACATGTATGTGAATAAAATAAAATAAATCTAATTTTCGATTTATGTGTGATTCCATTAGAAATGTGCTTTTAATAGAATAAATACGGTATATGTAGGGATGTTTTGGCTTTGAAGTAGCCTGCATCACATTGGTAAATGAACCAAAGTTGGATCAATAAATTCATATGCCATGGTTAAAAATTCAGAACATGAAGTGTTCATAGTTTCATATGTAAAAATGTAAATACATTGTAAGCTCTGATTATGTGATGGTGGTAATGTTTTTTTGTTTCTTAATATGCAGGCACTCAAATTGGTAATGTGATCACTCTGCCAGCATCAGGTCTACTCTGTGTATATGGGTTTTCAGGAGGATGGCCTTCAATATTTTATATCTTTGGTGAGTAAGTGAATGGTAAAAATAATATTAAAACTAATATGTGTTTACAATTCAGAGTGTGATTGTGCCCTCTTGTGACAAGTTTGTGAAGATCTTTTTTTTTTTAACAACATATGATTTATGTCAACAGGTGTTTTAAAAGCAGAGAAATTACTGGGTTTTTAACTTTAGAAGATTTCATGTTACATGGGTATTCACTGAGTTTGAAATTCATGGTTTTGTGAAAGAAACATTTCATAACATGGTTAGCTTCACATATTTAGGTGATTTAAATTAGTACATTTATGAGTGAAATTATCAAAAGCTCAGCTGTTAATCAAGCTCTTTAGAGTCTGCACACCAGGAATTCAAATAGCTTGAAGTTTGTTTGCGCCCTCTTGAGACAATTTTGTAATGACCCTTTGTTTTTAACAATTTATTTTTAGGTACAGCCACTCTAGTGTGGTTCTTGTTCTGGGCGTTCCTGGTAGCAGATTCCCCGGCCAAGCATAAACGCATATCAAATGTAGAGAGAATGTACATTGAACGGACATTAGCCGAGGAAAAAAGTGCACACAAGGAAGAGAAGGTAAAATATCAGCATCACCATAATTTGCTCAACATATACATATCTATTTATGAAAGATTGTCTTATACAATTTTTTTTTGGTACCCTTTTCTTGACAGCAACACCACGTACCCTGGTTTACAATCTTCAAGTCTATGCCATTCTGGGCTATATTGGTGACTCACGTGTGTTGTAACTGGGGGACATATTCATTGTTAACATTCCTACCGACTTACATGCGAGAAGTCTTAAAATTTGACATCAAACAAGTGAGTTTTCTTTCAATTTTTTATTATTTATTGTCAAACTTATAATAATTTCATTATGTCAAGAACACATTATGATCGCAGCTATTTATGTGTCTACGATAATGTCGATACTAGTAGGCAAAGCAAGAATTTGGGAATGTCCAAGGGAAAGGGGTGAATTTGTTGCTGAAAAATGCACGAAAGTTACAAAATTAATATATTTTTTGCGACTAGAAATGTTTTGATATTTGATTATTTAATAGAAGGACAATACTTAGTGATACTCATTCCACTCATTGTTATTTGATTTTTTATTTGATGTTGTCTTTTAGAATGGTCTATATTCTGCTTTGCCTTACATTGGTTTTTGGTTGTTCATTAATATTGGTGGGCATATTGCTGATTTCTTAAGATCTCGGAAGATACTCAGTACTGGGAATACAAGAAAACTTATGAACACAATGGGTAAATATTAATGCTTGTTGTCATTACAATTATTAATGCCTAAAATGTTATGATTGTTTCATCGATAAGCAAATTATTCAAAATTAAACCCCAAATCAGAGAATAAATACACATAAATCTTTTGAATAACCAAATAAAATTTTCAAATTTGTTAATTTTTTTTTTTTATTATTAATCAAGACAGTTTTGATCCAGACCTGTTACCTATTAGAAATTATGCCCATTTAGTCCAAAACAAAAAAACTACCGGGTATACATAAAAATGTATAAAATGGTTTATAAAAATTCAGGCAGAAAAAATTTATTTTTTATTTATTCTAGTCATACCTATATAGTGATCCATCGTTTATTATTGTCTTTTTAGGTTCTGTAATACCTGGAATATTCCTAGTTATCACTGGTTATATGGATTGTACCCAAGCAACCACTGCTGTCATACTCCTTACCATAGGTGTATCATTCTCAGGATTCCAATATGGTGGTGGATTTCTCGTCAACCATGTTGATATTGCACCTAAATACGCTGGTGTCTTATTAGGTATAACTAATACTACCGCAACTATTTCTGGAATCTTGGCTCCATACGTCATTGGTACTATTACCGTTAACGTAAGTGAAACTTTATTTGTGACTGCGCATATGTTTAGTGTTGACACATTCATATAAGGTAATTTTTCTCGCTGCAAGATCTTGCGTATTGGATGAAATAATTTTGAACTTGACTTCCTTGTTTTTCATAGCTCATGTTGAAATGTTGATCTTTCATGGGAGAACTATGGTGTTGAGATACTCTACTTCATTAAAATGAACTACCCCTGGTATAATCAAATAGCATATTGTTAAGCATTGGAATAGGTACCATAAAATACTCACATGTTTTTTGTATCTCATGCAATGTTTTAATGATGCTATGACTGTTGTTTTTCTAGTTTTTACACTTGCAGTTAACAGTACCAGTAAATCAAATACCAATAGTGAGTTGAATGCCCTTGAAAAGTATCAACCTTTGAATATCCTAATTCTGAATTCATCTTTTCAAACTAATAATTTTGCAGCAAACTCAAGAGGAATGGCAGATAGTTTTCTACATTGCCGCTTGTATCTATACATTTGGGGCCGTCTTCTTCATTATCTTTGGTAAAGGCGAGGTCCAGGATTGGGCAAAAGAGGAGCCAGACCAAGAAGATCCAGACCTGGCCAGGAAATTGATGTCTATCAACGGTTCCGATAAAACAGAACAAAAAGAATTTGAAACTCACATTTAGTAGATTTTAGAATTGTTAAGAAATTTTGTTCATTATGATCATCATTGCAAATTACTTTGCATATTTTAAGTGAAAGAAAAATACTGCCATAACAATATTTTCTTTTATAATTTTGTTTTCAATATCAGCAGGTAATTTTTTTTCAATAGTGATACCAAATTATGGTAATGTTAATCTATAATTTCAAGAAAATATATCATCTGTACTAAAGATGCATTTTCATTGGTTGATCAATGTCACATGATGTTACGTTATCAGATGATAACCTGGTTGAACACCTGATTGAACACATTTGTGTGTTAATCAGCAATATTCAATGTTTTCCATCATTTTGACATATCATCTGAACACCAAACTCATGAAATTCGGGAAAATTTTCTATGCATGTAAAACCGTTTAGCATACCATTGCCTGTATATTCAATTTCTCAAATTATTACAATTATTATAAATACTCAAACACTGCCCATTACTGAATAACAAGGAAGAGATGGTCACTAAAACTTGAATCATTCAAGTTTTTGCCCATGCTGTGCTTCACACAATAATGTTCATGAGAGATCCTTATTTCTGAATTAATAACGAAAATGAATTATCGTAATGACATTGTTTGACCGAGTTCTGATACAGTGCTGAAATATATTATAATTATTATAGCTGCAGAATATTATGGATTTGCTGTGCAGTGGCATCATGGTTGGCATGAAAAGGTTTATCGTATTACTAATACCGAAGGCTATATTCCACTGTCATAAGGACCAGAAAAATAAGTCTTCTTTATTGTGGGCACTAAATTTTAGAAAAAAATGAAAGAAAAATTAAAAATTTTGTTAAAAATCACAAACGACAGTCTCAGTATAAAAATAAAAAGCTGCCTGTGCACATCGATTTTCAATAAGAAATTGACTAGAAATATTATTTTTCATCTTATACAACATGAAAAAATGTAACATTTAACAAGAATACAAATATTATTCTCTCCAGAGATTCACAAATGTTTATATAATAAAAAAAACTGCCATTCTTGTTCTTGAATAATTGTTGTCATAAATAATTATTGCATTATTACTGCCTGAGTAAAATAGATGGAATTCTATAGCTTTGTGGAGAATTTACTTTTTAAAAATATCACTGCCAAATTCTTTTTATTATGTAGATTATATTTTTCTTTATTTTTAAAATGATTTTAACCTGATTAAAATGTAATAAACTAATATTCTTATTGAATGTTTTCAATATTTACCTTACTTAATACTTATTTTATTAAATCTATAAAGGTCAATCCGTTTATTGTCATTTTTACCTTGCCCATAATAATATTGATTTCCAAACACCTCATAAAAACGAGAGCATCCATAGCGGTGTCAACGTTTGTCTACAAAATAAAAGGTATTAATTTATAATTTTTGGCTAATATTACATTTTTGACTAAATTCACTATCAGCTATTACAAAAACTTATGAATATGTCCTGGCTGGTAATTAAGTTGATGCTGAGGAGGCTGTATATGTAAACTGTTTTTGGAGGGTTGTTTGTAGTTGGCTGGTATGAAAGGTAATCAGAGAAAAGTAAACAATAGCATAATTTTCAACAATCTTCATTGGAAAATATCACGATTTTCCCGTTTAAGGGTTAACTATTTAAATCATGGTGGAGATTGGAGAATCTTTGTTTTAAAAGCTAGACAACGAGAGAAAAACAAAATGTCATACAAGGTGTTGCAGAGAAACACTGTTCAGCCATCGAACCACAGCCCGGCTCACAACTATCGAGAGTTTTGTTCTTCATACTCTCTCGAATTGATAAAACGCCATCTGTGTTGAAATGTTGTAAGGGTATCATGTGACTTATGTTTGTCCAATCAGCGTAAGCCAGCTGGACTTCGTCTGCCTTTACAGGAACTTCATTGATTTCGTCCACGTTGACTAAAAACGCCGGTACAGATTGACTTGTATCTTGTGTAGTAAGCAGGAGCAGTTGCTGCGGACAAAGTAGCTGCTGGACGACCAACAACTTGTTTCTTACCTCAGGACAATTATATATATATATAATCAAAATGTATACTTGGACGTTAATTTCTTTGGTTGTTTTCGTCTTTCTCAGTTGTGCGTTACAATTTCACCAAACAGACGCCAAACTAAAAGAAGGCGATTGCGAAGGTAAGTTTTGGTTTTGCTGATTTGTGATAATCAAGCTCCGAAATCATTGTTTTTTAGTCGGTATCTCGCGTAACGGTAGCTTCCGTATATTTCCCTGTATCGCCGGCGATGACTTCGGACTTTATGATGACTCGTCACTTCCTGGTTTCAGCGCAGACGTCAGGTCCTAGGGCGAGCTACTGATTTGACCGACGATTCGTACATTGTACGTGTACAATCTCGACATGGAAATGAATGAATGAGCAAATGACAAGTACATGTAGTTGAAAAGTAGCCATGTAGTTATCATAAAGTGAATATATTATTGATATCGAATAAGCATATAGTATACCATGGAGGTAGAAAGATATTGTATCTCCATGAGTATACCTACATAAAATTACCAGATACTATGAACACAAGAATAGTAGGTTGGTATACATAGTTGTAATCTCGAGACGAAACATATGAAAGAATGATGAATACCCAGGAATATAGATATGCATATGCATGTGTTCGTTAAATCTTTACTATACATTGTATGCCATGATTTGGATATTGTTATGTTAGACAATGAAAAGTAATTTATGAACAAGCGCAATAAACAAGTCCTGAACAACATCTGCCAATGTAGTCCTTTTATGACGAAATAAAACACTAAAACTCACTTTATCCAATTTATTAGTGACATTCTATACGCATTAATAGTAATACCTGTAAAACAAACTCAGATTATCTTCATACAGATCATTTTCATGTAGTACCAGGGTATATCGGTATAATCTGTGAAGGTACAATGTGTACATCTGGTGATGTGCTTGCGGCTAATCTGTGGTTGCAAAATAGTTGGTCTTTGTTGTAAAATCCAGATCAAATTAAGTTTTACAGGGTTAGGTATCATATGGTGTCCTGTTAATTGACCCCATCATCTTTCTTTCTCATTCAAAGAACATGCTCGCACATTCACAGTAACAAAGGATTTTCGTTTCAGTTCTTAACTTTGTCAATTTTGCACCATGAATTATTTTGAATCTAAATGCTAGCTTTTGAAATTTCACTCTAGTTTGGTGTTTTTGTTTTTGTCCATATATGCTATACAAAGAAGCTCACACATTAAAAAAACCCTCTGATAGCCTGTTTTTGATAGCAGTAAGCCAATGCTGTGCCAATAGCAACTGTGTTGTAATTTGCAGTTTCCATTGGGGCTCTGTTTTGCTTGTTTACAGTGCCCTACAATACCAGTCTCAATAAAGTACGGTAACATAGCATTTGTTTGTTGCAAGAACTATATTAATTATTAAACTCTCCAGAAATCAATATGTCACTAAATAAAAGCATATAAAAACGTTTCGACCAGAATAGTTTCGCCAGACTTCTACAAAAGCCACAGTAGTTTTTTTTTTTTTCCCTGGCTATGGTTATTTTGTACGTTACGAGCACTGCATGTTTATATTTGTATATACGTGGCATATTTATATTCATTTACTGGTGTCTTCTATGTTTTCAGCAAATATTAATATGCCGCGAGTTAAATGATCCATTTATTAGTGTTTTAAAATGAATGCATAATATCATTGTTTAATATTGATTTTTCTTTCAGTGTGTATTAAGGTACTTACTGACTTTGAAAAAAAGCTAACAGATGAAGACAGAAAAGATTCATCATTTATCGACACAAAGTTAAGGAATCACTGCAAAAATTTGAAGAACCAAGATAACAGATTTGTAAGTGCATGTATATGTATTCAGTAGATAATATGTCAAAAATGGGAGATTTTGTATCGGTGAAAATTTCCTAAAAGGTCTTAAAGACATAGAGTATAAATGTTAATTGAGAAATGTTGTCACTATTATCATTATCCCATCAACAATCTGTTCTTGAAGCAATTTGTTGTTGCACCCATATTTAATATACAGATTGTGAAAATATTTTAATTTTATAGTTTTGTAATTGGTGGTTTTATTCAAAACTAGTCACAAGGCCCATATTGACCTGTGACTAATAAACTAAGAAACATGTATGTTCACTGACATTGTGTTTTAATTTATATTCTGCTGCTAATAAAATACAATGTGGCAGTCAGCTGAGACCTTAGTCCAATAAAACACATATTCAACCACTATGGTATTGTAGTACCCATATAAGTACCATATGGTGCATTTGAATAATAATAATTACAAGAAATTGTGCATGTCTGGTTCCATCTGTTCATATCTCGCACATGCTTTGATCAATAAACGTTGTATATACATCAGTACATGTGCTGAACACAGTGGTACCTTGATACACTTCTTTTGCTTTTTAAATCTTGTTTAAAATGGCCGTTTGGCAGCAATTTTGGTTTGAAGAATGTAGTTCTGAATCTATATATGCGACATGTTCATGTATCAGCAATAAATCAAAACTGGCTGGCTGGCGGTCATCTGGCAATTCTACATCTTATGTTACTTAAGGTAGCGGGACTATTATTTGCATACTTGTTTTCATTTTATAATTGTGACTAAATGACTACAAATAGACCCGGGAAAGTATATATTTTTAGAATCGCCAGATTTCAAGCTTTTCACAAGTGTATTTTGCATGCCGGTATCTGCATTCTACGACGCGTTACTCAATCAAAGGTGAAAAATTACTTTTTCTGTAAAGAAAATAATTACGCATTTATGCTGGCGCTACCTAGACTATTATTTGTGTTGAAAATTACGATTTTCACATTTATTTATTAATTTTCAACACAAATAATAGTCTCGCTACCTAGACTATTATTTGTGTTGAAAATTACGATTTTCACATTTATTTATTAATTGATGAAATGCACTATAAACTTTCATGTGATAAAGTCAACATAATATAGAATGTCATGTAAGTTGGTGAAAATGTAGATTTTCTGAAGGGAAGCAAGACAGCCTCAGTAGTGTTTTCCAAAATCAGCAACACAGGTTTAATCTGTGTGCCTATAAGTTTCAAAGATAAACTCAAGACAAAGCAATGTTAGGATGTGTTATCAGTAGCTATCTGACACACAATGAGTGTTTCCAAACATTTGAGTGGTTTGTCTCCGCCCCTGTTTGTTTCACAGATTAGTCATTTGCATATGAATGCGTTAGACACAAGGTCACACAGCCACTGAAAAAAAATCATTGATTTTGGTGTTTTCATATGCCGAATTTATCCAATTATAGCTATCCCATTCCTTTATTTTTTTGGTTTCCAATAGCTTTACACATTTGGATGTCCCTACACATGTTAAAACAGACCTTGATGGGAAAACAAACTAAAACAGTAATTGAAATTCAGCACACTATTTTTTAAAACTCGTTGCTTGAATAAAACTGACCAGACACATTCACATTACCTGACTATTGAACAACTAGGAAAAGTGAAAAAAATATTTCTTATCGCCAGCATAAATGCGTAATTATTTTTTTTACAGAAAAAGTAATTTTTCACCTTTGATTGAGTAACGCGTCGTAGAATGCAGATACGGGCATGCAAAATACACTTGTGAAAAGCTTGAAGTCTGGCGATTTTAAAAATATATACTTTCCTGGGTCTATTTGTAGTCATTTAGTCACAACTGGAAGATGAAAACAAGTATGCAAATAATAGTCCCGCTACCTTAATATGGATATTGCTTCAGTAGTTGTATAATATCCTGTAATATAAACAAGAACTATGTCGTTACCAGTGACTTGTTTAATTTAGTGTTGCCTTCTTGGTTTTTTTACGCATGAAATTTGTATTATAATTACTAGTAAATAGTAATAGGTTTCAGAATCTACTGTACATATGAATTTCAATGGTAATTTTGCTTTGACAGTAATGGCATATAGCATGAAACTTTCATTATTTTTTATTTTCAGTGTTATTATATAGGTGCTACAGCTGATGCAGCAACTGGTATTCTTGGAGAAATCTCCAAGCCATTCACAATGCATTTGCCACCTGCAAAAGTGTGCGAGAAACTAAAGAAGAAAGATAGTCAGATCTGTGAATTGAAATATGGTGAGTAGTTCTAGCACATGTGCCAATGACTTATGTCTGAAGCTGGTTTATTCCACTGGTGCTCAATAATTGTGTAAAAACACTGCATGTCTGGTGTATCAAAAGTACATGTTGTTGTCTAGATATTGGCAGCCATCTTGGTGACTTTTCAACAGTTTCCTATACCTTTAACACGTACCTCTAACGTACATTGTGGGGAGGAGCACTTTGGGATGTCACATGCAGTTTATTTGACCGGTGCATTCATCTGCACTTGACAATGACTGGCTGGTGGATCTACCATGCTTGAAAAACTATTGATAGAGTGAATTATTTCTATTGCATGAGTACCTAATATGAAATCTAGGAAAGTGGTAGATCCCCGAGGTGCTGTACAGTATACATGTCGTCAATAAATATTGAAACTACATCTTGTAAAATACTCTAACATGTTCTTGATAATTCAAGATGAGCTAATTTTACGTGGTCGTGGTTCAATTTGAGTGCTGTGTAGTTGTTTATCCTCATTGTATGGAGTACTCCTCACCTGCCAAAATAGTGTTTAGTTAGCAGATTTGCATTAAATTGAAGAGATATAAAATGTTGTTGTATTTTTCCCCCAATTCTCTATATGTAAGAAAACTCATTCTTGGAAAGTGTTGAATTTTGAAATGCTTATCAGTTGCATACAAGAGAAAGCAATAGGTGATTTCCGGTTCATCTGCGAGATCTTGAAAGTTGGGTGAAAGACGTGCGCCGTACATCTGCCGCAAAAATCGAACGATTTGATTTTGAACTCAAATTTCTTTATTTCATAGCTCACATGGAAATGGCCAATCTTTGACAGGGAATATTGCATTTGAATTACCCTTACTTCATTGAAATTGACCATCAAATGTGTACAGCACGTTATTAAGCATGGAAATGTCCCTAAAATACTTTCAGGTTTGTGGAATCCCTCGCCTCTGTTTGTCGCTGCCATGAACGTTGTTTGTCCTGTTTTTACGTTCAATTTCACGCATAATGCAGGATTTCGCAGTGAACAGAAAATCCTGGGATTTTTTTTCAGGGAGTGTATAAATAAAACTGTAAATTGCGATTGTTCTCAAAGAAAATGAATTGCCACATGTATATCTTCTTTTTTCAGAAAAACAAATTGATCTGAACACTGTGGACTTGAATAAATTGAAAGTGAAAGATTTGAAGAAGATATTAAACGACTGGGATGAAACATGCAAGGGATGTGCAGAGAAATCAGATTTTGTGAAAAAAATTCAAGAACTGAAACCTAAGTACTATAAGCAGGAGCTTTAGATGTGTTTATTTCTCACAGTTCTGCATCCCAGTGAGAAATACAAATGAAATTTGTGTATTTTTCACAACAAAGTATTCAACGTCTATCATATTGACCATTTAATTTTGAACACTTGTATATCTGACTAGTTAACTTGAAATTGATACAAGTCTGGATTTGCCCAGAAGATATTTTCATATGCAGAGAAGCTTTCGTTAGTAGATAACATTTACTGGTTAAAGAAATTTAATGTCACACATGTATAACAGTAAAAGAAAATGCCCCCCCCCCCTAAAAAATGATATTTATTAATAAACTTTTTTGATGAGATCTTTTATACCAAAAAGTAACTTGTGATAATGTACTGTGGGAGTTCCGATTGTTACTACTGAAATTTCATTGTCTGAAAATAAATTCTTTTCTGCCTTTTTTGAATCTTGTGATTTCTGTTTTATTTGAGATTCTGGTTTGTCGACATCGAAAATATTGTTTTGTAAAATGTTGAATTTTTACTGACACTAACAGAATATAGCTCTCGAAATAAGTATTACCAGTCATCATAGTTGTATCTCGATTTTTACAAGCATTTATTTTGCAGTTTACTTTTCTATATTGTATAACTTATTTGTCTATACAGAAGTTGAGATTAAAGTAATGTAGTATTGCTGTTGAGTACAAATTGTGCATATTCACTAAAACCTTGTTGCTTTCATTCTGCCATGCTGAGTGGTCATCAGAGAATGTCATTGAACATGGTTTGTATGCAATGCAAGAATCATAATTTCTAGTAATCCAGCCATAACAGAGATTATTATACTGATAGAAATAGATCCAAACTAGTCGACCCCAACTAATCAGTTTGCTTGACTTTACGAATCCTTGTATCAGGTCTCTGGTTTAGAAGTATTATACAGGTAAATGACGATGCGTCTACAGTCAAAATGAGTCGTGTTTGAATGATCCAGTATAAAATGAATGCACTTATATCAGAGATACACTTCTAATAAAGAAAGTACATTACATACACAAGCTTGGATTGAACTCTGAACAACGTTTTGTCCAGAGTTGACATAAAGCTTTTGGACCTCATCACATTCAAGTTGATCGGGGTTGTGTCCAACTGTGACAACTTTCATGTGTAAAATGAAAAATCCTGGAATGTGTGTACACATAGACCTTAAAAGATGCATGTACCAACAAAACTTGTGATTGGAGAGTTCCAAATCCAGTGTTGATATTATGTAGGCCAGATAATTTACTTGTGTTGTGCAAATATAAAATATTTAAGTTTACTTGGGACTGCTCCAGAATGTCTCACTGTTTTGATCCCAATTTTAATGGCAGAGCTTATCATATTGACCTCCATTTTTGAGTTTCATCAATTTTAGTTTGTGTCATTTTTTGGCTGAAACCATTTTTGAACCAAAAAGCACCCCCAATGTTAGTCATCTTGGGATCAGTTTTTAGCTGGCTGTGGAGCACTTTAGCAAAAATATCCAGGCAAGTAGCTCCCACCTAAAATTATTTAATAGCGTAAAATGCCAATTTCTGAGCCAAACAACACCCCAAATGTTAATCTTATTGGGTTCAGTTCAACTGGCTGTGAATCACTCCTACCTAAAATATTCAGGCAAGTATCCAAGCCATTTTTTTGAATAAAACACCAATTTTTTAGCCAAAAAGCACCCCTAGATTTGATACCAGTATTTCATGTCATTCGATATTAATTGCATGATACAAGTACATTATCCTTTAATTATTTCTTAAGGACAGACAACAAATCGTGCAATGATCTTACAAACTACCATGTACAATTACCATATTTGCTCGATCAAATGTATCTTTGCACATGATGACAATATTTTTTTTTAAATTTGTTTACATCAATGTAATTTTGTAAACTGGCAAATTAAAGGGTGATACTTGAATGACATGCTGAGCTTTTGTCGAGTAGACAATGCATAGAAGAATTGCACAACCCTTGGATCCTCTTTAACCAGTCATCAATCTCGCGTTGAAATCTGGGAATTAGTTTTGCAGGAACACTAAAAGAATAAATCAGTTGCCCCACTGTATCAGTATTCGTTGTTGGGTTGCAATTGACGTATGCTCGGTATGTGGTCAGTAACACCATACTCAGACAGTTTGAAACATCCCGAACTTCTTCCGTGTTATACCAGTAAATAACTGGGTAACCAAGTAAAATTCCAAAAACTGTAGAAATATTCCATCTATCGCCCGGTTTGAGCTCGAGTGGAGCAGGGGAGGCACTCTCTAATGAGAACGCCCTCTGTAGTTGTAACGTGTGATCCAAAACTTGTCTGTGACATTGACAGGATGCTATCTGGGGTTCGGGCAATGTGTTTGAAACGTCAACAAGAAAATTGCTCGTCCGCTCCACAATTTTACGCAAATGGGCGACAATTGATGCACGGTTGTAAATAAACACATCATCTACCAGTGATAAACATGATAACTGTCCTGTCAATCCAGATTTGAAAGTTCCGTTGATAAACTGCTGCATCTGTTTTACATCAACTGATGCAAAGTCAAAGAGAAAACTTGGCTTGATTCCTCTGTCGACAGAAACAATGTTACTCAGTATATCCATAGTTTTCTTCAGACACGATTTAGGCAGCTTTTGTTTGATATGTTTACGCCACTCAAGAACATTTAAATCACAGGGCGCAGCCATTTTGTGCCCTTCAGTTAATTACTTAGACCCTTTAAGACAGTAAAGATTTTAAACATGCTGGCAAGAATAGTACAAATTAAGCTGTCATTTCGTAAATATGTGTCACTTTTTGTACTTTATATTAATTATTGATTTTCATTTTTTATTGTGTGTGAAATTTATAAAAATAAATATGCAGAACGATGTCAAACAGTACGTCATGCTGCACTATTCGAAGCAGCCATACTAAAATCTTTCATATGTTAGGTAGTCCATAGATACCTTTGACGTCATATACAAGCTTTCAGGAAACCAAGGAGTATTATTGTAAATATAATCTCATGAAAGTTGGATTTGAACTTGTCAGAATCATGTTTTGAGTGTCTTTCGTGGTTATTAGGTATGTATACGTCGTAATCGATACGGCCCGACTTGGTAGAGCTGCAACGACAGATCTTGATTTCAGCACGGTAGCTTGACACGGGATGAGTATATATTATTTTACCTGTTCACTTGTTTGCTTTCTCATGGGCATAATATCGCGTCACGAACACGTATACCGACGTATTGATTATTAATTTAGCAAACAATTTCAGTGCCATATTGTCAATCAACAGTGATTTGAGAAGTAAATAACATTGACTATCTAGCACTGATTTCTTCTTTCAAGTTCTAATTTCACCGTGCAAAATATTTTCATTTATTTGTACGTTGGAGTCAACATTGAAACCATGTTTATATACTCATAAATATTTATAAACACAATCCATCACAATATTCTTTTTTAATTTCTTCACACTTGAGTGATATCAAATTCAAAATAAAATACATACTATCTGTACATTCTTTATATTTTTTATAATTGTAGAGTAAAATGTGTAGCTGCTGATTTTAATTAAAATGTAGGTAAATAAATAATTTATAATATTCATGTTTTTGTTGACACCAGTGTATCAACATCTCCTAGTACTGGCTACTCTGAAATCAACAATGCTGTGTACATTATAAACTTTTTTTAAAACCTAAATAATTATGTTCTCAAATGCCTGTTACACATTGTATGAGCGTGTACATTGACCTTGACTGTTCCAATTTCTTCCCGATTGATGCATGAATTCTTAGCTATACATAGGGTAGTTTTGTAAAGAGACTAAATTCAAATGAAAAAGTTTTATACAGCATATTTATGACAAATAAACATGCCTTTATTGACTCCAGGGTGAACTTCAACTACTTAGAAGCATTTATTTATGTGAATTGAACTAATAAAATTGGAGATAACAATAATTTAAGATAAAAATGAACAAATCTATAAAACATGTATCACCTTCTGTAAATATTTATTAAAATATAACATGCCTCCTCGAATAAATAAATAATGCAGGATGATAATGAAGTAAAGTAATTGTATCCCTGTGTGTATATTTGGCCATATTATTTTACCCAGTAGTATATAGTTGGCAATCATATCCTATTGTAGATTTGATGATAGTCTGTTTTACTGAATTGTTAATTATTTTTCAATGAACCCCAATTTTTTTTTAGATGTGCTACTAAGAACCCACAATGGTGTTATTGGATGGAGGTAGCCTGCCTGTAGGCGAAGAAGAGCTTGATGCAATGTTCACCATCTTGGATCCTACTTTTATTGGTTATCTCACTGTACAACAACTGCAGGATTTCCACTATGCACTTTATAGCTCCACCATTGATAATGACCAAGTAGTGGCAGCAGTGGATCAAGTATGTGGGAAGAGCTCCAAGGGGAGGTGTGATAAGCAGCACTTCCTTGCGACCCTCTTGGAGCTGAACAGACGTATGAATCTAGAGCAGAAACTATGGTGGGACTTCAAGGTTTTAGATAAATCTGGTACCTGTACTATTTCGACCAAGGATGCCCTTTTTCTTCTCAAAGCAACCCATGGGGAGAAATTCTCCATGCATATGTGGAATGCGTTTATGAAGTCACGAGACTTTTCAAATGATGTGGTGTCCTTCCATGAAATCCTTATGTGGCTGTGTAGTATTCCAGATGGTCCCCCTGCAGATGACGAAGAGCTCAAGGAACAAGCCGAGAATCTGGACACTGAGAAATTACGAGAAGAATATAAAGAACACAAGAAATTAAAATTAATGCAGGTATCGTGGCCACAGTGTCATCAATATCATCTCATTAATATTCATGATACACAGTGTAATCATTATCACCTGTCTGATTATTCATGTCATCATTTTCATTGCATGAATATTCATGATGTGTCATCATTATCACTTGATGAATATTCATGATATTGTGTGAAAAGCCAAATAAGTAACCAGAGAAGAACAACAACAAAAAGAATAACAAAAAACAGAAACCTGTCAAGCGTATTTATTATGATTGCCACATTGAAATACTTCAAGGTTTTTGTAATTTTACCTCGTAACTTTGCAAAACACATAGGTCTATTCGCATAGTGAATAACTTCAGGCAAATCTGAGTATAATTATTCATTCCTATATTTCAGCGTTTTGAAATCAAATCGGAGAAATGACGTTTTTTATAAATTATTCCACCTTACTAAAATGTTTTTATGTTTTCCCAGGAGGATGACCAGATGCTTTTAACTGACTACAGAGAGAAGGAAGATTATCGTGATCAATTTACAAAAGGATCTAAGAGAAAATACAACAGGTTAGAATTGTGACAGAGACTGAATTAATCAAAATATGAGTTGAATAAATAAGTTTTCTCGATCTAGAGTACTGTAGATACTATAAACATTTGAATCAGTATTCAAGATTATGTGACACACAATGTGTGGTAAAGATTATTGCCGAAATACACATACTAGAAACTACAGTTTACCGGTACTGTAATGCATTGCTGGAAGTACTGTAAAATGACTAATTTTTCACTGGGTTTAAATTTCACTGATTTACCATTTCAGGCATATTCAGTGGGTTTTGAATTCATGGTTTTATCATTTAGATAGTGTGTTCTTTGCTAAATTTTACATTTTCACTGGGTTTTATTTGTGTGCATTTTCCAGTCTGTGAAATAAGCAAAACTAAAACCCAGTGAATGATTAACCCCTTTACAGTACTAGGAATGGAATTTGTGAACCACTGCAACAAAAAATTATGATGAAAACAAAAACGCATTTTTTTTCAACAGTTATGTTATCAATTTTCGAATTTGAGGAGCATTTTTTGGTGTTTTTCTGCTGATTGGTGGTTAGCACAAAAATAGGGGTGCCTAGTTAGTTTCAGATTAACATTGCCATTGTATTCATATTGAATTCTTTTAGATGGGATAAAGGTGGCGTTGAGGCATTAATATTTGATGATGGTACAGACTATGAGGAAAATACCATCAAGGCACGAGACAGGGTTAGAGTCAATGACATTCTTGATTCGTTGGAGTATAAGTATGAAATGTTGAGACAGAAGCTCTTCCGGGAATGTATACAAAGTCATGTTGGTAAGTAAATTTAGTGTCAAAAGATCGCCATTAAAAACTAATTAAGTTAATAACTGCTGTGCAGTGATTCAGATTAGGTTTTCATCAAAGCATTATGTAGAAAATACCAGATTTATACTGCCACAGTACTCATATTTAATTTTGCTATTATATTGATCATATTCACTAGTTTTTAAATTCACACATTTGTGAACTAGAACCCCAGTGAAAGTGCACTGTGTCTTCCGATAACCCGAGTGAATGTCACTGCCTCCCTAGGACCCCAGTGAAAGTTTCTGTGACTCCCTAGGACCCAAGTGAAAATTACCATGCCTTCCTGGACTCACTAACTCACAAAATTTGTTAAGATTTATCTCTCACTTGGGTCCTAAAGTTGTAAAGTGACAGCAAGCAATATTTGCAAAATATTGTCCTCACAAATGCCATTTAATCATCAAATCATGAAAATAGTTAGCAGTGAAAATTAGGTTTCAGTATGCCAAAATACTTTCCAATGGAATCTCACATACCATATTTGCTTTATTGGAAACGCATCTCTACTAGAAACACACATAAAGTAAAATCACTAAAATCTGACTACAATTTTTTTTTTGCAGGAGAAACTTTTTGGTCCACGATGTCTGAAAGTGAGCAGCAGGAGATGGTGATGCTGTTGGACATCAAAGAGAAGAAGTTTCGTAAAGAATATCAGATGGATAAACTGGGTGCATTGGCGGAGACAGCGCAGACTTACCCGCACAGATTAGTTGCTCTAATTGGCGATCTCATACAGATTCATGAGTCTCGAAAGGTTGATGATGAGAATCATCGAACTCAGTTGATTTCTGATGGATGCACTGAAGACGAGGTCAATGAACGGCTACTTAAAAGCCACCAGGAACTCATTGAAGGTAGTTGATTAAATACTTTATGTTAGCTGGAATTAATTTTTTCTGAGTGAAAAGAATTTTTGAGTGTTTTGTATGAAATTTATTTTCACTGATTGTTCATAAGTTGAATGTAAAATGTAGAAAAATTCACTGTATTTTATTTTCACTGAATCATTTCTTCAGGGAAATGGTGGAAATAAAATAATTCACAGTGTAATTTATGCTGTATGGCAAGCATACTATGAACTTGTTCTTGCAGTTAAAAATGTGTTATATTTAGCTGTTTTTTTAAATTCAGTGATGTAATGGTATTATGATATAAAAAGGATCTTAGGATAGTAATAATGTTTGAGTTTTTCTGCTGTGTGCAGGGGGGGAGTTGCATGACACGATTGGTTGAAATACTCGTCTCATTTGCATAAATTAATATTCATGAGCAATGAAAAACTCGTCTTTTCAGTAAAATTGTGCCAAAATGCTTTCCGATAGCATACATGTTAGTTCTAAATTGATTGATTCTATCGTTACTAGCTGAAAAATAATCGGAAAAATGATGTAAAGGTAATTTTGAGACACATTTTCGATCAGACTCCAGCTAACTATTGAAAGTAAACACAGGTTTTCTCTTTACCGTGATCATAGCAAGTTATGAAATTCATGGAGAATGCAGAGGCACGTTTCTATTTCACTCTAGTAATATTGCTCAAAATTGCTCAAAATGTTTTCGGTGACTTTTATCAGTGAAAAGTTACCTAATTAGTATGCATTTCAATGAACCACAGTGTGTGTGCATGCGCAGTTTGAAATGGAACAGATTTGAACGAAATAAAATCACGCGTAGAACTCGGGCTCTAGCAAGAAATTGTTGCGTCAAACTGGTTGTTGGTTGAATTGTTTTGAAATAGACATAATTTTGGAGTCTGTATTTGTCTATGAAATGTTTCTAAGTTTTGTTGAGGATTATTCTGTAAAGGAATGGCTGAAATTAATTTATCTGTTCGTAAACGGGACGTTGTTGCTTGACGGTGGGCTACGGACGACTGACGTCGAAACGTTCCATTCAGATCAGATGGCGCCCTCTCGTGCCAATCCCCCCCCCCCCTGTGTCATGGCTTACCAAGCCACAATGGGTCTGGCATTCTGATTGGTCCATCACTTTCTTGTTGCGGGTTCTATTTCCCTTGGTTACCTGCTGTCAGCGTTAGGGGTTGGGCGAATATAAAACTGTTTTGTTTTTTTGTTATAAATTTGCACAAAAACAGCGAGGATGCCAGAAATATCTCAAATATGTAGGTCTAAGCAGGCAGAATGTGCTTGCCATTTCTATGTTCCACCATTTAAATTTTACCATGTATGTGTCGTTTCTATCGTGAGTTCTGACTGGGTAATACAAATGAGCCTGAGTGAACCTTATAATCGTTTGAGGGCGTGCGACATACAATAAATCGTGGTGAAATCTGCCAATGTTAATGTTATTGTTAATGTCGAGGCTTCGGCCGAATAAATGGTCCTTGGCTGGCGAAGATGACTTGAAACAACACATTTATTTTGTTAACTTGAAGATATTTCACAAATACCTACAACAACATTAACTTAACCGTTCACTTAACAATAAATTGCTTAAATTAACATATACTGTATAGAGGAATAGAGGAAAAAAATCCAGCACTCGTAAATTGATTTATCGCATGTATCACTCAGAAGCAGTGACGTCACGCCGTGTAATATTGTTTTCATCTTACATCTCCTGAGCATCAAATCTGATTGGTCAATTTAAAAATGTGACGTCACCATCACCATCACAGAATGATAATTAAATGTCGTCAGTTGTATCTCCGATGGTGAATAGACACTTTAAATGCCGGTGTCCGTCGCGAAGCGCGTGTTCGAATTTCATGTATACAAATAAAGCATTTTACACGCGTTGTATACGTCGCTAAGAGACCCATATCGAACAGGACGCAGTGCGACGACCACTGTCCTTTAAACAGTCGTTTCTGGAAACGAGGCATTGTATCCAAAGTTAAATATTAATGTTTTCATTTTCAGCATAATACATAATAATAGATCATGATATGGAATTCATGCATAATGGTTTTTCTCTTAGATGATTAGCCGAAATGCTTAGTCACCGTGGGTTTTTTTCAGAACATTGTTACGGAGTAGTGCCCCCAAGCTACATAATAAAAATAAGGACAAAATTAACATAACAATTAAAAAAACGAGATATATACCGTGACTATCTTAAACCTGGTTTTGTCAAGGAGGGGGACAGCACAGTTATCTCATAACTGGCAAGAAAACAAAATATAAAAGTGCTGAAAAATATATGTATGTATGTATAATTGATAATATAAAGTCTGTAAATATTGAAAAAAAAAATATCTCAAAGCTGTACATGTGTAGGAAATGCAAAAACATTTTTTTTTTCAAAATGTTGTACAAAGTCAAGGCATATTAAAGTAAATATTAAATGTTGTAAATAGCACTGTGACAAGAACCCCTCACAGTCCAGGGTAGAAATAGGGTGGGTAAACAGAGAAAGCACTGTAAACTTCGCGGCTGCAGCCAAACGCAATTGCCGACAATCCTAGACGGAAATGATCGCCGATATTTCGTTGAGAGCGTGCGTACCACGAGTGTTCCATTCTAAAAGTTCCTCGTGTCCACTGTTTTATTGATCTGTGTAACCATGGTATTTACAGCAGTGGATGATATAACGGGAGAAAATTTAACACGATTTGGGAAGCAAGAATAGGTCAAGTGGCCCTCTCGTGGTAGACGAGATCTCTGGGTCTAATGTCCGTGAGTATATGGGACTTGGAATGTTTATGATATAGATCTGTCTTTAGGCCAAAAAAAACTTATGTTGCCCTCAAGTCGGACAATTTAAAAATTGGGTCAGTCGGTCGGATTTTTTTTTTTTTTTTTTTTTTTTAAAAAAACTCGTGAAAACTAAGGGTATCGTAAATAGCCGAGGTATATGGACTTCATAGTATTCGGAACATTAATACAGATCAACCCGAGGTTCAAAGTCGCCACTTATCTCCTGGGGATCAAACAACGGTCCGGGATCGTTAATTTTCTAGAAATACTTTTTTACTGCTTAAAATGGTGACTTTTTAATATGTGGACCTATTAAAGAAAAAAAAACGCGACCCGACATTTCATATTTTTCGGTCGGTCGCTGAGGGCAACAAAACATTTTGTTTTGGCCTTATGGTAATATTTTCTAACCACGTGATCAATCCATGGCTAAGTTAATTTTAAGAAACAAATTGAAAATAATAATGTAAAATGTGGTCGATTGAGCGGATCAATAAACAACATCCAAATTGTGTCCGAGATTAACTTATTGTTTCAAAGAGACGTGTCTTCAATCACACCGCTGTCCCTGTTGCATTCGTGTTGCAACAAAGCCGTGTGCTTTGTGTAGGTGGTTGTGGCAGTTACATGTTGACTTGGTGAGTCATCCGGGTCAGATGCTACATCTTCTTCGCAGTACGAGTAAACACCAGATTCGGGATTTTCCTTCACTGAAAGTAAAACATAGAAGTACATAACAATAACGTTCATAACTACCTTATACTAAAATATGAAGATACACAGATAGGGGAAATGTCACATGGCATGGAAACATAATGCTTTCGTTTGTCTAGGTTATGTGATAAATATTTTGAGTGTGTATGTATTAAAATATGTAATCATAGTACACATGCAATGTAAATAGAATTATGTGAATTTGCATTGGTGGTGGGAATTACCATGCCAGTTTATACAATTGTGAATAATATAAAAGTGAAAGGCGTTTTCTCATTAGTGTGTATCATTTATGCATACAATTACATATCTCATATACTTTGTATCATTTTAAATTGTACATGGTATTTCCAGATTCACACCGGTTGTTAATGGCACATACATTAGATTCTCAACAAGATAATGACAAGTTTCTGCCACTCACCACGAAAGCCACTCATCGCGAAGCTACTATTATGTTAACAAATAATCCTCTGTTAGTCTGTGCTCGTATCAGAAAATGGCAACAAGGATTTGCGTTAGGGTGGAACTTTACATTATAGATATGTATAGATTGTAACTTACTAGCTGTTACTGTATTATACGTCTCGTCTTGTTTCACTTCTAAGGCTGGCTGCTTCTTTACATCAATGCGTTTATGCTTTCTCTTGCATTTACTTCTCAGTCGTACAAAGCCTTTCTTAGGAATGCACGGTATGGATGCTCTTTTCAGGTGACCGTTAGAAGACGCTGTCTGTGATTCTGAATCGTCGCTGCACGATTCCTCCGCTGTGTCGGCGATTTCCGAGACATTTCGACGTAAGCCGACATCACAAGTCGTCCCATACGTATCAAATATGTAGCGCCTTAACAACATGGCAACGTCATTCCTGTTTTTCTCTTTAAAGAAATGAACAAGTGCCTGAAGATGCTCCTTTGTGATTACACCAATTTTACAAACCCACACTGTTAACACTGCCTTTGTGGGGCTTTTCTTCTTTGTACTTTGGCCAGTCTCCAGAAGAAGTATTTTGTTCATGTCTAAACCCACATGGTGTGCGAACGTCTTCCAGTCAGTTACAATTTGGTCCTCTTCAATGTTGTCCAGCATTCGGCATATTTCGTTTACGAGTGTACCTGGTAACATAGCACCATACATGCTATATTTCGTTTCCGGTGTCTACATAGGAAAATAACAACTATAAATGATGAATAACATCGTGGTTTTGCTGTGGTTGTATTACTAAGTTCATCTGTGTGTTTATTTTATGCGTCACAGTCATCTCTCTGCGTCGTGTTCGGTATGGGTTCTATGCTATTTATACATCCAGCGATCCCACATATTTTTTAAATCGGAAAAAATAGACGAAGGAAAGTCAAATTCAATTTAATTTATAAAACAAATACCGGTTTGGTGAATATTAGTTTGTTTTTTTTTAAATGTCGAACACGCTTTACCTTCACTTTGCCGATATTAGTAGTATAGATTTTACCGACACACTTGGAGGCGTGGCCTGTTTGGAATTTTACAAGAAGCACCAATCACAATACTGGCTACGAACCAGAGCGCGATGCCAACTAATTCTTAGTTCTCTGTGATACAACGTGTGTAAAATATATTATTTATTTACATGCAATTCAATTGGGCACTGCGTGTTGACAGGGGGCGCGTTAATGAATCCATGTAAACATCTAAAACTACACATTATGTGGCGTAATTCCGGATAACAATTTCCGATGCCCAATGATATCATTGTTATTTCAATTTGGTTAACTCACCTTAATGTCCCCAGGCGCAGGCTCGGATATATTGAATTTGACCACAGTGTCTGCGTTTTCGCACAGTCCCATTTGTCGGATAAGAAGGCGGCAGCGGAACTGGCCATCAGAATTGCGCATGCTCAATACAAAAGTGGCGGAGTCTTCCATTCTCCATAGTTTGTCGTGTGACATCTGAAAACACAAATTTGATATTACAATAAAACGACTAATTTAATAGAGAATATTTTTAAAAAGCTACCTTCTTAGTAGTAGCCGTTTTGACCCACATTGTGACACTGAAAAACACCACATAAAGAAAATGCGGGTCTCCGATTTTTCATAGAATCACAAATTATGAAAACATTTATGAAAAGTAATTTTTCTCAATTCGTTATGTCAAGTAGATTAAAAAATAAGTAAAAGTAATTTTTCATGGAAATTGTGTTTCACATCATTATTCCGTAACATTGACGTAAAACGTCAGACAGTTTGTGGGGCTCGAACTTTAAACTAGATTATTTTTATTTATTTTTATTTTGCCATTTCAAAACATATTAGTTGTACAGTGTATGTTTTATAACAAGTGTGACAGTAGTGTGGTCATTCTATATTCTAGCAAATGTATAAAATAGGATACCTGTTCAACACCATCATCGTCACCTAAACTCCAGTCATGTGACAAATTCATTACGCGAACTTCAACATTTTCTGTTTTCTCCCTGAATAATTGCAATTTTCTCTCTATATCTGCCTGTTTTCCACCAAGCTTGTTTTCCTTTTTCTCGCATTCCTAGAAAAAAAAACAGTCAGACAAGTCGTTTTGATTGGATTGTTTTGTGTAGTCATTATTTCCAAACGTTTTGTATATAAGCGTTTTTTTTCACATTTTGTTTTTTCATATTGTTTTAATATATGCAATATTGGCCCCAGACTATCGTTTTGTTACTATACAAGTAAACTCACAATATGTCAATTGACATGAAACACATAGATAGATATATACATACACATGAATATAGCTAGAAATGTTTTTGGTCGCCACCAGGGTAATTTTTCGGGTATCTCCTGTGTGTTTAGTTATGCGTAGCATTGTTATCATAACGACATTGTATTTAATATATATGAAATTTTCTTTTTAAAAAATCAGCTAGTGGCCTCTTAATAATAGTAATTTCAATATCGGGTCATTGAACATACCTCTAAGGAGTAGGGTCTAATTCCATATAGCCTCAATATCATATCTGGTCCACGGCGTTCCAGAAAAGGGACGAATAAAACGTATATTGCATCTGGTTCCCCCTCTGCTCCAAAACCAGTGAAATGGTCAACCATAAATATGATGGAGTCGTCTGAAACCCGCAACACATTGTCTTCCGCCTGCAAGTAATCGGTCTTTTCGTTTAAGTCAGTCTGAGTAATTACTGGCACAAACTTGCGCTGTTCTCCTACACAGTGTGGTACGGTCAGAAACACGTTGTCGTTGAACTTTTGACTTGGCCCGCAGAAAACAGTCGGTGCGATTGCAACAGTGTTCCTTTTTACACGTGACTGGTGTGCGTCTTCGTTCGTCACGCAGATGTACACTTGCCGTTCCGTGCCTTCTGGTATTGCGCCGGGTGGTATGTACAGTTGAACATCACGTAACTTTAAGGTTCCCCCGTATTGATCGAACATTGCCGCCTCATAGCTACACGAGTCGGGTTTGTTGGCGGATGGAACGCCGTGAATTTGTGAGATGTCAATACGAAAAGGGCATCTCTGCGTTTCTGAGTAATTTGGCAACGCATTTGTACAACCATCACACTGGCGATCTGTCTCTATTCCTCTCACGTCTTTGTTTCCCGATTGTTCTGGTTCATTAGTTTGACACGTATCTTCAAGGTTGCATTTTCCACTCTTCCCTGAGATAGACGCCGACTTTTTTTCTTTACCTGTGAAGGGAATTAGTTGTTTACAATATCCACCGAATAAGTAAACACTCGACAAAACGGAAAGGATTATACGAAAAGAACTTTTACGATTTGATGTCGACAGGATCACGTTAGACAGATTAGGGTCGTGTGCACGTTCTCTGAAATGGTGTCGTGATTACTGAATTCGATGGACTGTACGTAAAAATATACACGAATTCAACGAAGCCTGATATACTAGCTTATGTATGATTTTGTTGAAACTATGAGTTTATCTTCTCAGTCACGATAGACGAGTCAAATTTCGAGTGCAAAACTATCTGAAACTTATGCCTTCTACTATTGCCATGTATTGACTCGGGTAATTAGGTCTTGGTTATCACGTGTAAGTCACGTGTGAAATGTTGGTAGCGAGGCTTTTCCCGCGTATCGAATCCTGCCTTGTTTCAAAACATGACTAAACTAATTCAATGAATATCAGTCGCTAATTAATATAATTCGTGTTTTTCTTTCATTATGCTATGCCGTAGATTATACATGAATTGAGAAAACTTGCCTGTAGTTACACCGCTGCTGTGTAACTTGCTTTTATTCCTTGCCTGCGGTGTTTTCGATATGTTTTGTAATTTCTTCAAGAGTTTCCTTTTTGGTCTATGTTTACCTGCAACGTATAAGCAATAACATGTTGATGTTTCACAGTTGAAATTCTCAGTTGCTGCAAAGTTCAACCGATGATATCAAATTGAGTACGCTGTCATGGGGATTGTCGCTCGCTGCGTCACTATCTAAAATCATTCAAAAGTGCGTAATTTAACCCAAAAAAATGTGAAGTAGATTCTAGGCATCTAGAATCCAGATTTTCACGAATATTTAATATTGTTAGTGAATATGAGTTTTAAAGAGACAATGTGGACATGTTTAAATTATTTTGTTTGCAAATGCAAATCAGGTTGATAAAAACAGTGTGAGATGATTTATCGTAAAATAAACACGCTGTTATTCATTTGATGAAATAATTAAATAAAATGCTTGCACGTGCATGGCATGGGCTTCAAATTACCTGTACGTTCGTACGCATGCGCTTTTGCGTTTTACAGATAATTACCTTTCTGGACAGCTATGCTTGGAGCTTCTTCTTCTTTGTTGATTTCATTATTGGCATGTGCATAGTCCGTTGAGCGTGAAATTGAACAATAACCGAGTTTCTGATTGATAACATGTTCACTGTTTTGGGAAAACAACATCCCACCGTTCAAGGGTTTTCGTGGCTTTTTCCGCCTCGTTATTGTTGCTCGTTGGTGACGTTTAAGTTCAGGCAACGACGAAAATATATCATATTTGGCAGATTGTCCTGTAGTATCGGATTGGCCATAATTACCATCGTTGACCAAACTGACCATACTATTCCTGGACTCTGTGAAGAGATGACACGTGTTCAATTGATATAACTAATTACTACTGTGTTACTTTATATATTTTCTATCAGTGTCGCTAATATTTTGCTGTTGGGGTAGAAGCCTACGTGAAACAGTGTTCTATTGTGTGATATAGTGCCGAAATGTAAGAGAACTGCCAACAAAACAATTGATATTTTTCGAACGGTTACTTTAACACACTAATATTTTTCATGACCCATTTTTTAAAAAAAAATAACTATAACAAAATGTACCTCCATTACACACGACATATAATTGTTTTCACTCTGTGTCACCGACCTACAACTTGAGACACGGCATAATATCTCAACCAATGGCAAAATGGTCACCCGTTCACTATAATATAATCCTCGCTTACTTTCGAACGATGATCCTGAGCTTCAACACTTTTTTCAAACCAGCTTTTTTATATTGTACAATTAATTTCAAACTTAATTAATTTTTTGTAAGCGTATAAAGCATTTTCCACTTTAAAGGTCGTAATTCGTATGCAATTTCCAATTTTGAATTTTTAAACACAAATTATCAAGTATATTATAAACATGTGAAATGTAATTAAGAATTTGCTTTATCTGTAAAGTGTAAAAACCTATTTTTTACTATAAATGAAACTTTCCATTTTATTTCCTGTAAAAACGTAAAATGCATTTTTATTTCCTGTAGCCAATACCTGCTATCCCCTTCCCTTACTGGGCTAAAGGTTAAACACGTCAAACATATACAAAGTATATATTAAATAACATCGACTTAAAACTTTTCATAATACAAAGTATATTTTTTTTGTTTATTTTTTTTTTTAATATTAACTCCTAGAAAGCGTAGATTAAGTTATGTCTATGATTGTTGTATCAGTTGTATGTGTACTAAACAGAGTTTGTTCCATGTTATTTTATTGTTAGAGATGTATGTAACTATAGTATGTAACTATAGACAACTTCCGATTTGAGGAATCAAATGAACTTAAAATTCTGTGAAATCGACAGCAAAAAAACACACACAAAATTGAACATGTTGGATTTAGTAGAGGGAATATTAATATGCAAACGATAGATCCCTGACACATCAATTACAAAGATTACACCAATTATGTGTATAGATTCATTTCATAGATAATGTCAGATAATAACGGAATACACATCACAGTTACACAATATTGTGTATTGTCATGATTTATTTCCATGTGTCTAGAGATCGATCACTGATACGAATTGATAGTTGGTTTCATGTGAAGTGCTGGGTGTCATCATTCAACGCTCTACCATAACCTGTCATCATTTAAGCTTATACAAGGTACTGGGCGGAACTCTAGTCAGTTATTGGAACTAATTACGATACAAACTTTGCTAACAGACTGTTATTCCCGACAGTTTGGTATGTGTAGTTTCTTAATATAGCGGACAATTAATCAATATATATGACGTGTTGAGTACTTCGTGTGATTGGCTACATGCGAGTGAAATGTTTGGAGGCTACGCCTTAAGCTTTTAAACTCCCCTATAATTGGCTAAAGTTTTGGAACGTAAATAAAGTGAGTCTTGGTCAGTCTGAGAAAGATCTCCACTAGACGAGGCGAGTCTTGAGAGTGCTCCACGAAGCGAGAGAGTCTTGGGGCTTTTCCCCGGGGTATTTAGTCTTGGAGAGTTTTCAACGAGCGACTAAGACTAGAAGTTGACACGTATTCTATATCTGTGTGTGTGTCTTTGCTTGGTCGAAAGGTGGCGAATGTAGCGATCCCGTGTACATGAGAGAAGGTTTAATAACACGATAATTAAGCCATCATAAAACCACAGTCCCTCTATGATAGAGGGACTGTGATAAAACACAGAACACGCCGATCAAAATCGTGTGTTGTATTCAGTTGGCTTCCTCTGCCTCGTGATAAGCTTAATTTGAACCTTTGTTTATAGTATCTATAACTGAACAAATAAGCAAAACGTGCTGGTTTACTGAAAATAACTCTCTCCCAATTATAATTGTTTTCATTTGCTAGTTCTTCGAAAACTTACTTTAATATTACACCGAATTCGGCACCACTGAGCATGTTACTGCAAATATATGAAATGCATTGTGGAAGATAAACTCCGATTGTATATAATGAAAACCTAGCACTACTATATCCAGTCTCACTAAATTTTATGTAATTTTTTCAAAATGATTTCACAAGTTAGATTTCATATTAATAAAATTATATGACTTTTTCATGAAGAAATAAACTCCCCATGGAAACCAGTGTAAACATGATAATTTTTCATGATAATTCACACTTTTCTATCCCAAAAGGTCATCCTGTGACCCCTTTTTCATTTCGGTATTCTGATGGTATTAACTCAGAATAATGAAAAAATGACGATCATGACATATAAACTTCAATTCGGCTCTTAAATATACATCCAGGAAGAAAACTATTAGCCCCAAAAAGCGAATAGTTTCTGGTCAGCACACCATTCAGTTCGAAATGTGTATACCTCTACTTTATTTAATGCTATCTGCTAAACTTTTCGATAAAAGTTCTGGTGGTTTTAATCGTACCAATTAATATTTAAAAACTTGTTTTGTTATTTATTTTTCGCTCACCGTAGAAATGACCAAAAGTAGCAGTTGACAGTGGAAGCTGCATATCGGGCAAAATAGCATACGTATTTATTTTAACTTGAGCTGAAATCGGTAGTATTCTCCCTCACCAGCAGCTAAATATAACCACGCACAAGTTAAAAAATGTTAGTTTGATCTAGCATGAATTGCCTCTATTTATTATCAACATATCACCTAGTAAATACCTACCTGTTGGTTCTACCGCCCACGGGTCGTGTTCATTGCAGCTGACCGCACAGTACATTTCCTTCAACCCGGCGGTTACCATGACATCGTTCAAACTTGTATAACTTGACTCATTTCTGTAACGTGCGCACTCTTCGTACAGATTTTGTTGTTGTGACCTATCTGTTACCACCTCTGCCATTGGGTCTTTTGGTCGAATTGTTAAACCTTCCATCTCATGTATTGTTTGCGAAACTTTTGACTTATTTTGTGCAATGGTTTCTACATCCACAGTGTTTGGTATTTTGGACGTAGCTGTCTGACGTTCTAATCCCTTCTCTCTCGCTTCAGCGTTGTCAATCGTACACGCCATTATTTTATGGTCTGTTTCATCTGTGTCGATCTTCTCATTTACATTTGTTATACATATTCCTTGATCGTGATTATTCGTTGAATCTGTAAGACTCATTGTTTGGTTATTCTTCTCAGTTTCGATTGTCAGACAGTCTTTGCGCATTTCGGGTGAGTCCACTAATAAGTTATGCTGTACAACACAGACGAGAAACGGCGTCGCCTTTTCTCGTACTTTCACACGTCACGGTACAGATCCCGGAATCGCAGAATTCTTCAACTGATCCCGGAATCGCAACAATCTTTAACCGTTGTGCTGACGACTCTGAAAAATCGAAGGATAAGTCTTAAACGATAGTGTGAATAACAGTGAGTACACCTCGAGGAGGGGCACTTGCTGAATTGGTTTATAGATAGATCTATTGTTAGTATTTAAAAAGGGCCTTTTTTTATTAGATTAAAAAACAAAGTTTGATGTCCCATATATATGAAAGCACTAGATATGACATGGATATGATAGTTCTACAATAAGGTGACATTCGCTTACCACGATACATACAAAACACTTTCATATATAACACTGCATCTCAATATTTTAGCTTCTATACAGACGTCTGTGTTATGTATAAATTAAAATGTTTCTATAGAAAGAAAGTTTCTATTTTCAATTCTTGAGAATAATTTCATGATTATCTATTTAATATCTGTCAAACCATACTCCCCAAGAATTAGTTTGTTATCACCATTACAACTTGCGTTTAAACACGAATCAGTGCAATGCGCCAAATGTCAAGTCTTGCACAATAAGCCATGTCTCCCTAACTGGGTTGTTATTCAATATACAACAATTCATATCGATTACGTCTTGTCAGCTGTGTATTGTTCCCGCTAACTTTAGAACTGTATGACACAAGGAGGAAGTTGGCTTAACAAAAACGTTTTTTTTTTTTGAGGAAGTAATGAACATTTCCTTGAAGAAGTACAATTGTGTTTTTGTTCAATTACTGACAACAGTTTAGTAACGAGCTAGAAAGTACAAATACAGTGTCACTGGCATGGCGACAGTGAACGCCGCCATCTCAATCTATACATGGACATAGAGCATACTAGTAATGAAATCCATGTGTTATTACTTCTCGTGCTTAATACAATTACTGTAACAATGACTGAATAAAATGCGACCGTTGAACGTGGTCCTATTATATATAACATGTCATTGAAAATTACACAGTCCCCGTTAAGTTCTCTTTGTGCTCGTCATATTAAAGCGGAGGGGTTGTCGCGAGCGTGTCGATGAAACTTGAGTTCCAGGTGGCGTATACAACAGATTGTTTATTTACATCAAAACACGTGCTTCGTGTCATAGTAATATGGCCAAAATAAAAACAGCCGTTATTCAGCCATCTTTGATCTGATTATGAAACACACTGATATGTATGATGTATGTGCCAAATACGAATGAAAATGGTACATAAATTGTGGAAATATAGTAGTAAGGCCAAAAAGTCAGATGGCTGTCAATCGGCCATCCTTGACCAGATTATGAAACAAATTGTCATGGACATGCATCCTAACATGTATAAAGTACATGTACTAGTATGTGCCAAATTTGAATGAAAACTGACAGAGCACGTCCAAGATACCGCATAAAAAACAAAAACAAGATGCCTGCCAGTCGACCATTTTTGATTCATTTGTGAAATAAATCATCATAGACATGTATCCTAACATGTATAATCCATGTACCAAGTTTGAATGACAACTGACAAAGCATGTCCAAAATACAACATTTTCAAAAAACAAGATGGCTGCCAGTCGGCCATTTTGAATCAAATCGCTAAACTACTGCATGTGCATATGTCCCACATAAGGTACTAGGCACATGCAAAGAATGAACGGAATCGGTCCACAGGATTCTGAAATATGACGTTGGATAGACTGACGCACGGACAGACGGATACACGGACGGTCGGGCGGACAGACTCAGGAACTCACGGACGGTCGGAGACATGTATCCTAACATGTATGATCTATGTACTAAATTTGAATGAAAACTGACAAAGCATGTCCAAAATACGACATTTTCAAAAAACAAGATGGCTGCCAGTCGGCCATCTTTGATCCAATTGTGAAATAAATCATCATGGACATGTATCCTAACATGTATAATCTATGTACCAAGTTTGAATGAAAACTGACAAAGCATGTCCAAAATACAACATTTTCGAAAAAACAAGATGGCTGCCAGTCGGCCATTTTGAATCGAATCACTAAACCACTGCATGTGCATATGTCCCACATAAAGTACTAGGCACATGCAAAGAATGAACGGATTCGGTCCAAGGGATTCTGAGATAGGACTCCGGACGGACGCACGGACGCACAGACGGACGGAGACCGAATTATAAGTCCCCGTTTTCGGACTTCGTCCGAACGGGGACTAATAAAGCTGAGTCGATAGTCGATGGCGCGTATGAATTGGCTTGTGTTTTATTGCTACCGCGAACTGCGTTCAATTAGGGAGGAGTTTACTAAATAAAAACACGCTTGTACATTTTTTCAGTTGTACGCCCGGAATGTGTGATAAAAAGGTGATAGACAGAGAATTTGATAGGAATTATAATACTCTTTCAGGAAAGGATTGTCGGTACAAGTATTGAGTTTGGGAAATATTTTAGGAAGTAACCAATATACATCCAGCTACTTTCACGGAGTACAATTGTGTTTGCTCTTTTTTATAAACCAGAGCGGACGTCATGATATTTCACGTTATATAAAACTCTATAATATTAAACTGTTGCTGAACAAGCGGCGATGTGAATACTTTTATACATTAAATGGAATGTTACTACATACTTACCAGAGCCACATTCTGTTAATTTAAAGCAAATATATCAAGAACTCTAAAATTGTTGGCTCAATATACCCCCTGTTTACTGGCTTTGTAACTTGAAGGAGGAAGTAGACGTATATTAAAAAAAATACAAGAAAATTGGCATCGAGCCCACTCGGAACAAGGGAAATTCCGAGGTCTATTTTAGGCAGCAAAAGAAATGCAGCAATGCATGGACCTGTTCTGGCTTTCCCAGTATGTGAGTGCATAAATATCGACTATTTAAAGCGATGAAGTCGTCACTGCGCTTGCGGCAAACCATATACCTTAAATAAAATACATTTTATTTTTAAGGTCTATGGGAGACAGCCATAGAGAGTATTTTTTATTACGTCTACCCATTGTCCTTGTTGTTAGGACTCAATTCATGTGCGTGTACAGGAGACGACCACTGCACTTTAACGGAAAAAGCAGCAATAGTTTTGATAAAGTTAAAAATTGAATATCAATTCCTAAGATATATACTATGCTTTAATTCAGTAAGTACCAGCAAAACGAAGTTTTTCCACTATGTTCCACCTAATAAAAACTTACAACTGAATTTTTAATCAGTGTTTTCGACACGGCATATCAGTCTGGTCAAGTACTAAATCAATACGATAAACAGAGTAGCCAAGGTGTTAAAATAGATCAAATACTGGAAAACACCAAATTCTGCATATATGTGTTTCCAACGCATGCTTGGTGGGGGGTCTCAGCAGCCCTCAAAAACTAATATTACGTGTAATATCGTAAATAATCCGTCTAGATTTAACTTTTTCCTCGTGAAAGGAGTGTTGGCTATTCCTTCTCTGGACTCCCTCCCCGTGTGTACTACCAACTCTTTCTATCATGTTCTCACTTGACGGCACTTGTCAAGCTATAAACGGGCTACAGTACTCATTTCGCCCAAACTCCCGCCTTAATCGTGTTTTAATCGCTTAATTTGCAGCCGTGCGGACTTTTCCGAATGGAAAACGGCCACATTTGTATCGCTTTCTTTTCCCACTCGCTTATTGAAAACATCGACTGCTGGCCCAAACACTGATCACTGGTGCATGAGTGATCGAAATAGTGGTTTTAATGGTAATGTTTGTGAATACAACGAGTATTAACTATTATTAAATTGTTATGAAGCTGTTGTGCTTGCAGATCACTTTTTATACTTCGTTGTTGTTCTATTTATATATTTTATCTTTTTATTGAATTCGGTACTATTTTCAAAACATATATTGTAGTCATGGTGACATCTATCATTCATGGTTCATTCTTCGAAGCGAATCAATAAAGTTCACCACAAGTAAAAATAAATAATCGCAAATTGTTTTTAGATTTGTAGCGGATTTTATTTTCGTTTATTAGTTAGCAATAAATGCACTTTTTCATAGGCAAATTTATATTCTTTTAAACCTTTAAATAATTTGCCGAAATGAAACAAACTTCCCTTCCTACGAGCTCACAGCACGACAGTAAATTATGTACGTTCGCTCCCGGTCCTACAGCCCCTTTGCACGTATCCCCGGAGTAAGATTATTGTTCACAGGGCCAAAATTAACAAGGAGTAAATCACAGTCTTGGAAGAGCGGATCGTACGTTCACCATTCACATGATAGCTCATAAACACCAACGACATAGTTGTTGTTGTTATTGTTGTACTTAAAAGAAGAAAGTTTTTAGGATTTAAGTAGGAATTAGATCGTTTTATAGTCCGAATCTTCCTTGGAAAATGTTTAAGCAGACAGAAATTTTCATATGATGCATTGTATAAATGTTCAAATGCAATTAAATATGTTTGGGTCAAAAGCGTTCCAAATAACTGATGGTCCATAAAAGACAACAACAATCCAGGTCACTCAATAACCATAAATAACCCCCCTACACTAATACGTGGCTGACGTTTTTCTTGTAGCTCGAAACACGGACAGAAACAGAGTGAAACATACTTAAACAAAAGTAAACTTGTCCGTTAATGAAGTTTGTATTTGTATGTAAGGAGTTAAATACTGTATAAGAATTATTGATGAGAAATTAAATATGCATATAATTAACGCTCGCGGAGTTTTTTATAGTTCACACAAATAAGTGTCCGCGGTAAATGTAATGTAAAGTATTACAGTCGCTACAGAAGTGTGGCCAGTTCGTTTTAATTAGACCTTCTCAAGAGTTCATAGCTTTATTGGAGGAATAAATGGAAATACACAATGTACTTGACATGCTGAATGCGCCGTTTTATCACTGGAGCTATGAACCACCTGTTGAACATGGAAGAGTTAGGTATAGCTATTTTAAGATCA